GTCAAAAAAATATAGAACTAATCGTGCATACGAGGACGGCGCAGTGACGCACCAATCAGACATATCGATTGATCGGTTGGACAAACATTGGCTGATACATTCTGTGATCATCCAATCAGGTTCAGCCTGCCTGAAGCGTTGCGAGCGTGCGTGTGGCCTGACTCGGAGGCGTGCGCGATCGGNATCGGACGGGTTTCTTAGGCTCCGTCCTAACTCAGATGACCAGGCAAGGAAAACGTAAACTGTATTCTGTTATGACTGTTGTTCAGAGATTTTAACTCAGAACCAAATATGAACAGCTGAGCACAACTCATAAATCATAAGAATCATTATGCTCATGAGGGGCCTTGCTGCACCAAACGTCAATCGCATGATGCGTGGAATCCGACACGAATCACCAACAGCTCTAGTGGGAACCTTCATTGAACTGGTTTAAGTCTTACCCGCTTCGGAATACATATGTATATATATATATATACAACGGCAACTGCTGGGTGATTGACTTTAGCATCCTCTCGATCTGCACGTTCACGCCTATGTAGAAACCTTGAGAACAATATGCAAATTTAGTTCAATAATTTGTCAATGATTGACTGTTGGTCGAAGTATAGTTCACAATAACCAGTAGGTATTCCGTTCTGGTGATTCGTGCACCGGAGGATTCACCAAGACATATCCATTACTGCAAAGGTGCAATATGCAGTAAGTTCATTTGAAACGTCACTCACCAACTCTTTGAAACACACCGAGGGCTTCTCCGAAGCGGTTTCCTGCGGTAGACTGACACGACTTCAGTCATTCGTTAAACTGCGGTCAAAATAAATTGCAGTTGGCTGTTTCGTCCCGGGTTTTCAGTACATTGCTACCGTGTTCATGGTGTCCGATTAATTCGCATCATTCCAGTAAACAAACTGGGAGAATTTCACATCAACTGGGATGGAATGCATTTGGTCTTTCGTAAAACCTGACAATGTGGATGTTTTAGTGTTAACTTTACAATGCCGTGCCCTGATTTTGGATGCTTTTTCTTGGCAACTTCAACTCGAGTCAGATGGACAAATGTTCAACGTCATAACCGACATATTGTGATGGAAGAATATTCATAAGAACAAGCGTATGAAGCGGGTTACGGGGAGAACGTTTGGTGGTGCAAACAGGTGCAAGCAGGTTTCCGTTTAGGAACATCCGCCAGTTGTTCTCAGTTCTCAGCCACTAGACTGGTATAGAGTAATGGGGTTATGATATGCGGTAGTAAGGAATAAAGCGGCTTGAACTTGTTACCGGATGCAGATGTGGTGGAATTTTGGAGCGAGAAAGATCAGTACGGAGAGTGTGGGAATCGTCAGACCGTACGGCACTGTTTCAAACAATCGGTTACAAGATGAAACGGGACATTTTATTAGGAACTCAACGAGCGATGAATGAGATAAACCATTTCGCTTGGCGAAACATTTTAAAGGCCGTGGGACCAACGCAAAGAGCCAAGTGACTGGGGAACAGTAGGTCCAACGATAGTAAGTAGGGGAAAAAGTTAAGTTTTAACATCACATGCAATGGACCAATCCAGAAAGGCGTCAAACAGAGGAGTACAAAGTTGACAGCAGCAACTAAACAAAGAAGTAGACTGCCCGTGGAAAGCGACTGGACACATAAGTACCCAGTACCCAGTATAAAGATAAGTTATATATTAGAAGTTATCATTATCAACGTCATCAACATCAACAACAACATGAACACTGTACCACAGCTTCGTTTTACTCAGTGCACTAGTCTTTCACAACGCGGGTAGCAACTTAGTCCTTAGACGGATTCCTCCTGATTTGATTGGTGGATGCTAGTGAGTAGAAAATCACTCGGTGACGATTAAAACAAAAAGAGTAACGAGGGTAACCTCATTCCACAAAAAGAAAAAGAAAAGCGTTTGTTTATTCGGCATAATATATAGTGAAGACATGTGCGCTCGCACAAAAGGCGATCTGTCTCAGCGTATTTACACGTGATGAGGATTTGCACTGTTATGCACTTTGTTCTATGGCAGAATAATAGTGGCATAAGCAATTCATTAAAACGATTGTATTAGTGGTAGACAAGAGATATAGGTCACTGTCATTGACGTACTCCGATGTGAGCACCCTCTCGCCACCAACACCATCTAACTTTGGTGACAGGTTACTTCGCTGTAGTCCCGTTGATTAACGTGTCTGTGCTATTGGGAAATTACATAGTTCGTTATATCAGGGCCCCAGGTTTATTAGGGCACAAGCAACCAATCCGTTCTCGTGACTGAAGGGCTTCTTCCACCTAAATGAAGTCACACAAAGATATGCTGTGAAACAAGCTGAAATCTGGTCCTTCTTAGGTGGCGAAACGTATGGTGGAGTAAAGAAACAAAAGGCGGATGGAAAGAATTCCCCAGTCATTATCATCAATGTTTTGAAGTGATTAGAAGAAATAGGATACTTACAATTTGCTGAACACTGATCCCAGTAGCCGCTTGCAAATTGGTTCCTGGTAAAGTGGTAGACACGGTTGGAGTGCTAACAGTTCCGGGAACATGCGGAGCGGTTGTCATGACGGATGGCGGATGGGATACCGGGATAGCTCTGGGTGCAAGTGGAACGGGATTAGCGGGGACTGTGATTGCGACTTCTTTGCTTCGGTCAGTCCCAGTGCCACCGTTCGCGTCCGGTACTGACTGCTCCAAAGACTGGACCGGTTTGGGCTGTGACTTCGGTTGAGATGGGACGGGTGGAGGTGGAGGTGAAACCGGTCTTTTGAGCCAGTCTGGATGATACATATCGGGTGGGATCAATTGTTTCCTGGCGAGGCAATCCACAACCCAATCTGGTGCAACCATGGTGGGAGCCGGATCCACCAAGCCCTTGGTGCAGGCATTATAGAAATCCTATAAGCGAAACAATTTGCGTTCAAAAGCGAATATTAGATTCCTCACAATCTTGAAGAAGTACAAAGTGAGTTAAACGTGTACGATTGGTATTTGCACACTTGAGTTACAGTGTGGTGAACATTGTTGAAGTTTATTTCGGGAAATAATTGCTCTGATTTGGAGTTTGTTGTGCCGCAAATGGTCCGAGATGAGTATAGTGGGTGTTCCTATTCGCAACTTATTGCTTCCCGAGCGTACGGTTGACCGAATGAGCTGAAGATTGTGTATGAATATGGAGTTTGAAGAAGAATAGATGAGAATGAGAAACATATATCCCACACCTCTGCCACTCATTGCGTATATGCATGTTGACACATGAAGCGAAATTGTCACAGAAACATTTCGCAAACATATGTAGTTGTGACTTCTCTATTCCAATTTTTAGCGGGAAAACTATTTTTGACTAATTTGCAATCGTCTTTTTAAATATGAACACCCTACACGAAGTTTGTCGATGGCGTCGATCTTATTTGTAAATTCATTGTTCTTAAGGTTTTGGAAACACAATGTTTGTGATGCAACAAAATAACGTCGTATTAACGGGTTAGTGTGTTCCACATTCGGTGACACTCGTCGAATTTGTCGTTCCGGTCATGTAGACCTTGTAGACTTTGTTTCGGCTCAAAACGCATCTATTATACTAGTTGCACATCATATTACTATCAATACAACTATAAGCTCTAATAGCACTACCATATGCTCTGTCGTCTTTCAGCCTCATGATGGCGGCTTTTGGCCAGGTTCAGCATGGACAAATAAAGCAACGTTCAGACCAAAATCGGATACTGATGATATAGCACATCCCAGGACGGGAATTAGGTGGCCTGAAACATTTCGGTATTACAAAACAACTCCATAAAGAGTGAGAAACAGAATTTTTCTCAACTGGTGGTGGTGGTGATGATATAGTGGTTTAATCACTGACCCCGGTGTGCTTCGGATCCTATGGTCCGAGGCCCGAAACCCATAACCGCCACCCAACTTTGCTCCCATCTATCAGTCATCTCAGTCTGAATATAACTGCCTACTCTTCAGCAACTATAATTGTAAGGTTGAAAACGTATTTCAAAGCGACCTGGTATACACTAAATGGTTTTCTTCCCAGAAGCTCGCAGCCAATGCGCACATCACAGCTAGGCAGTGCAGTTATGATTGATTGTGACAATGCACTAACCCCTTGGACAGATAAAGATAGCAATGAGGACACTAATGTGCATGAAGTTCCATTTCTTACAACCAACAGACCACACTTTTCTTAACCCAACAGACGGAACCCTTTAGTCTGAGAAGCGGAATTTGAATATTTTTTGTCCTTAGACGATCAACAGTTGTCACACGTAACACGCCGAATCACAAAAATCACGACCAATTTGAATCCTTTCGTCAGCAAAACTACTTTTAATAAAATCATCCCATTTGATTATAGTTCACATGACCACGATGTACGAAAATTCATTAAACTCGCTTGTGTGCAAATGGTGTGAAGATTAGGTGTATCAGGTCGTAATTTTATAAAAGCAAGTTGTATAAAACCAGTCTTTTTCTCATCAATCAGATGAGGAGAACAGTTTTTGTCGTCGTGAGATCGATGCAAGAACGAACAACGTCGAGGATATGTTGGGAGACTGTTTCTGGTTTTCAATGTCCCATTGTTTCAAAATACACAGCGCATTCATCCGCAACGAGTATCACTATTTTTTATATTTGAGTAGCGTGTTTGTTTGAACAGAAGACTTCAGTCAGAAAAAATGTTCCTTTTATCAGGGTTGCAGTTTGTCGAGACAGCCAAAAATCCACAGATCACTCAATTCCTGTCAGAAATAGATATCTGTCACATCAATAGTATTCGAAACCACACTTGGTATATCCTGTGAATTTGTGTTTCACGTGGAAATCACGTGTTATAAGAAGCCTCATTTCGGTATGAACCTTTTTTTATAAAGGACGACGTGACACGATTAACGGACAATAAGAAAACCTGTGGTATTTTCAAAGGCAACGTAGGCTACTTGGTAGCTACTGAGTATCGCATTTGGTTCGACTCCACACCTATCCTATCCAGACCTGATCCAGTGGTCACTACACGTCCAAAGTCGTCGGTTGTTGATCCCCACAGCTAAACAATACGGTTTCGTGACTGAACGGTTCATTACTTTCATTGTTCACTGCCCAGTAGTGCGCTATAAAATAACCAATTACTTCTAAGCAAAGCGTATTCGGTTTGCAAAGCAGGACCGCTTGTCCGTCGCCAATCTAGACAGCCTATGGTAACCACAATAGACAATAGGCTGGTCTATAGAAAACGGCTTAGTAGATATGCATTCAAACTGTAGATCCGAAGCCGAGGGGCTAAACGATATGTGATTTTCGTCTGGCGTCAATACCTGTGCCCAGAATTATCCGAAAACCCGGAAGCAAAAGGTCCGTTTTTTTTCTAATCGTGTTCCGCGTGGATTGATTCATTCAATTTCAAGTTCTTCCTGTACTTAAGTCGGAATTCACCGTGTTAGTTTTTCTATTGATTTTTGGCCGTGTTGTAGTACGTTTCGGACAACTTTTTTCAGGTATCTAGGACAGCAATCCTCGCCAATAGCGAGAAACTATGGCTTTATTCGATTACTAAAACTTTGCATTGTAATTATTATCTATCACATTTTCTGAGTTGTGACCGTGTCAAATAAATCATGGTACATGATCTTTATAAATAAAAAACCGGTTCGATCGTGGG